TTTCTTTAACTTTTTATAATATTATTAACTTAAAGGAAAGAAAGGAAAGAGATTATCTTTTAATAAGTTATTTATATAAGTAATTAACTACCATTTAAGAAAGTAACTTTCCTAGCTACTTAAGCAGCTTCTTACCCATTAATATAAAACCTTTCCTTTCTTTCTTTCGCTTTTCTCTCTTCTTCTTCCCTTCTTTATTATATAATATATATATTTAAGTTTCCTTCTTATATTATATAATCCTTTTAATATTAAAATTTATAAATAATAATTAATCTTTATTATATAATAACTGCTCCTACCCCTTTAATTATAATGCTGCTTAATTAAGTTATGTAATGCATTATTAATGGCTAGCTTTATGCAATCTTTCCTATAATAATAAATATTAATTACACCTAGCTAAATAAACTTACTATTAATATTTATTCCAAAACCCTTCTTGCTATATTTTTTATAATTATGCATTAACTATCTTTTAAAATAAGAAAATAACTACCCTTTAACTTTAATTATATAATATCCTTATTTATATATATTTAAATAAGAATATTAAACTCTTTATTATTAAGATTATTTATTTTTTAAATCTCTTTTATACATTCATTATTGCTTTATGCAAACTCTTTATTTATCTATATATTAATAAGTATACTAACCTTATAATTACTAAGTTTTAAAATTATATAATCATCCCTAAATTTAAAGATAATGCTTATGTAAAGTATATCTAGCATTTAAATAATTATTACTATAAGCATAATATTACTACCTAAGCATTATTATTTAATAATAAAAGCAATGCTTAAATAAGGAATAAGAAATATTATTAATACCTTAAATAATCTTAAGTAATTAAGGATAAGCTTATTATAAGCTTTATGGTTTAATATTTATTAAGTAATAATTTTAAAAGGTTAGGATTATATATAATAAGAAATATTTAAGTAAAATTATTATATAATAAGTTCTTATTTTATTATTTAATAATTTAACTCCCTTCTTACTAATTTCTCCTTGCTTAAAACTATTTATTATATTATTACTTTCCCACTTATAAGCTTAAAACTTTTTCTTAAAAAAATAAGCTATTAATATAAAGCACTATATTTAAATACCTTAGCCTTAAAATATTATCCATATTATATTCCTATTTATATTTAACTTAAGTTATACCTTCCTTATAAAACCAACCCTCTTTATAATTTTAAATAATAAGCTAAGCTTTCTTATATACTTAAACCTACTTTGCACCTTATTATATATATAAGCTTTTAATATTTCCCTTTGCTAATTCCTATGCACCTTACAAAATACAAAGCTGCTTAAAGCAGGAAATTACTCCTCCCTTAATATTACATTATAATATTAATAATATTACTTCCTAGATATATATAATATATATAAAAGTTAAATTAATTAATTAATTTATATATAAACTAATTAACTTAGGAATAATAAATATTTTATAAATTCTTTTTATTTATAATAAGCTTTACTTATTATTACCATAAAGCAAAGTTAAATAATACTTCCTCTTTACCCTTTATTAAATTACCTATTTTAATATCCTACTTTTAAGGAAAAATTGCTAGCTAGCTATAACTTATTAATACTATAAAAAAATGCTCCTTATTAACTTTACTATGCTTATCCTTATACCTATTTCTAACTTTATTACTTAAAAGTACCGCTTACTAGCTTTACTAAGGTCATACCCATATTAAGCAAAAAACTAAAAAGAAATTTAAAAATTTAATTTATATAAAAAATATACTTATAACCTTTACAATTTTAACTTTATTATAAAAAAATATTCCTTATTAACTTTATCATAATTATCCTTATACTTATTTCTAACTTTATTATAAAAAAGTATTACTTTTTAAGATTATTAAAATTATACTTATATTAAGGAAAAAGCTAAAAATAAGTTTAGAAATTTAATTTATATAAGAAATATACTTATAATCCTTATAACATTAAGTTTAACTACCTAGCTTTCCATATCTTAACTTAATAAAAAAGCAAAAAAGAACTTTATAAATTGCTTTAAGCATTACTTATACTTATAACTCTTATAATATAAAATTTAAGCAACTCTTTATTATAAAGAAGAAGGCATTATAGCATTAATAAGAAAACTTTAGCCTTAAGAAAACTCTTAAAAAAGAAAAATCCCCTTTTAAGGCAAGATAAGGCGGCTTAAATTAAAAAAAAAAGCTTACTAAGCTTAAAAAGAAATTAAATTATAATAAGGTTTTTCTAATTTATTTAATTAAAAAGCTACTAGCCCTTAAAATCTTAATTTTATTATTATAATGCCTTTATTAATTAAACTATATAATTATAGTTTTTATTATTATATAATAACTTTTTAAGTTTATAAAAAAGTATTATATAACCTTATTATTATTATTAATTAGCTTTTAGCTTTTTATTATATTTATAGCATTTAATTAATTAAATTACAAGGTTTTAAGAATTATAGCAATATAGCTATTGCTATACTTTAAGGCAGTACTTACAGCAATTAACTAATTAACTTGCAACTTTTCTAACTTATGATATGCCAACCAAGTTCCCATTCACAGACTATTCTAGATAAATAGCATAGTTGTCGTCACTCTCCACTTAATCCATTGCCACAAGCCCCATTTTGCCAACGTACTATCTCGTACGTAGCCCCTGAGCCAACTGATCATTGCCATTGTGCCATCCTCTTCCAGTACATGCTCCGGTCGAGTCGCAGTCTATTGATGGCAAGACCAGCGGAGGGCTCTATGTCTGCAGAGTGCTCCGGCGTCTACCAACGTCGGAGGATCTATAAGAAGGTGAATTGCGTTACTAGTTTTTGTGAGTTAAACTTGTTTTAAGCTCATCGGGGAGCAATGCTACGACGAGAGTTGCAAGGGACCCACATTGCACTGCAGATGATGTAGCGTTGCGGTGCGAGCTACCGAAAAGGGACGCCTGTACTCAATTTCTTGGCTCCGAAATCTTTTGTGGCCATAGTGAGTGGTGTTGACACTGTCTTGAACATCCGTTTCGACTGTTGCCAGTTCGTACATGATGACAAGGTCTCGAGGGTTGATGCTGGGAAGGAGCCGTGAGTCAAATCGCTTCCGAGCAGCCCCCAGAATCCGGAAATGGGTGGTCGAGCTTGTGAGCTCCACTTGCAGCATGTTGGTGGACATCGGACAAGAGTCCTCTCCCTCTTCGAATCATGGAATGATCGGAAAACCACATTGGCCAAGGTCTTTCCCAGGCCACATTCATTTCCTAGTGTGCAGCCCTTCATGCATAGCAACGGCTGCTGTGAGGGACATTCGCCGGCGAAAATCAGCAAGCGACGTAGAGGACACCATGACGGATGGTTGGACGATGTGTCTTCAGTCAAGTTAATGAGGTCCCAGCAACACTGGATATGATCAATCCCTCCGCCGCCTGCCCAAAATGATCCAGGGTAAAAAGAAACTTGAATGCAGCTTTGAGACCCTGCCAATCTTCACCGTGCTGGGAAGCAGGCCGACATCCAATCTATCGCTTGTCCCAAGGCTCGGCCCCGCGAACATCGCCCACATCGGCAGCGAGCCCCCGGGTCTTGGCAAGTGGAGTGGAGTGCAACATGGTAAAAAGGGGCAGGGGTAGCGAGTGCCAAGATAGGAGAACTGAGAGGATTCCCCTTCTGTTATATAAATCCTGAAACTTTCCTCAAGCATTGTTCCTGACTTGGTATCTATTTTAGATCGCTGACCGAAGTCACAAGCACGTCGCCGTCCTCTTTAATTACCATTAAACGTACCACTTAAGCACCACCAACCAAGATGAAGCTCACTGCTGCCGTTTTTGTCCTCAGGTTTGTCTAAATCCAAAGATCTCGTGATCATGGTCGACCATTTCTAACATGTCATCAGCGCCCTTTTTGGCGTCTCCAATGCAGTTCTCTGCTCTTGCGACGGTAGCAACACCGATTCGGCCACATGCTGCTCCGACTTTACGGGCTGGAGTAAGTTCGACCACCCGCGCCTCTCCCCACCGTCATAACTTGTTTCTGGACTCTTGAGATACTGACAATGGGTTGCAGAGGGGCATGAATGCGAAACCTCCGACCAGACTACCTACGCGATCTGCTGTTCAAACTTTGACCGTACCACCTCGTGCCGATAAATGCGTGGCGGGTAACCCATGTTGAACACAGTGGGTGGGAAAGTCGAGCACCTGGATGTCGGTGTGACGGACGATTTGCCTGAATGTGTAGCGGCTAGTCATCCTCAAAATATGAATCAAAATTGTTGCTGTTCATTTTGAGATCAAGTGCAAAACCAAGAGGGTTATGGCGGTGGGGTGACCTGTTGACTGCGTCAGGGCATGAGGATATCCATCACTGATCAGAGTTTTGTTGCTTCACGCTGGATATAATTTGCTTTGTGAACGCGATTTATACCTTGGAAAATGGTAACAAAAATTAAATAACTGAATTGAGGAACCGTATTGATCAACTTGCACCATATACTGTCGGTCAGGACGAGAACGAATTGGCAGTGTTAATCACGCCCAAATTGTGAAACAAGTCCTGCTCAGTTACCAACAGCCTATTGGGAGCAAAATATGCTTCATGCACCACAACACGATTTGGACATCTGCCTGCTGGCTGAAGGGCCATTAACGGAGACAGAGCAATAATCCGTTGTTTGAGATCGTGGAAGAACACCAGTCGAGCAAGGGGCATGTAGTATGGAATGAGACGGAATCCAAACAACCGATAATATGTTCTTTGGCAGAATTTTCTCTTGCCAGAATTATAGACGTGCACAACGTCTCAAAAATGGAATCCTAGAAAGGAAGAGAAACTCAGCCACCTATTTAGGAGACGGAAGCAAGGTAAGCTGCTGTTGCAACAAATGGAAGTACAAAAAGGAACTCCATGAATGCAACCGATTGAAACTTAGTGTCTGTCATGTCAAGACGCCTGCGAGTGAGCCTTGTCTGTCGGTACTCTAGCAAAGATAAATATCTTCCTCTTCGAGGCCCCAGTTGACCCAGTCATCAAATTTCTCGTTGAAGCCAAGTGGTTTCAGAAGCTTGAAATCTTCAGGCCTTGCCTTGCTCAACATGTAGCTATCTCCAACAAACCTATAATGATGATCTCGCTCCGTCCCACGGAGTTTGAAGACCATTTTCGCACCGATAATGACATACACGGCGTCGCCTGCACGTGTGGTAAGTGGCGCAAGGCCGTAGTGTCCTCGGTCGGTCACGATGAGCTTCCGATTATGGGCGGTTTGCAGGAGAGTTTCATGCACCTCTGACACGCCCACAGGGATTTCGCTCTTGATCCCGTCTTCTGCCTGCAAAAAGTCTGCATACTCGGATTCTTTTTCAGCCCAAGCTTCGAGAGAACCCCTGTAGTTCCCTGCTGTCAGGGTCTGAATCATGGCTTCGAGGGTGGAGGCATGAGAGTTGTAGTTCAACTCCTCGTTTCTTCCAGAGCTCGTTGATGTAGCATCCTGCCAAACATGCTTGACTGTCTCGATATCTGTGCTGTGGTAGAGAAACAGCTCAGAAGCGAATCTGACGGTTCCTATACGCACACCCTGGACTTTCAGCGTGTTCTGGTCGACCAACGAAGGCCTTCTGGCGCCCGATGATGCATGGGAAGATAGGGGCGCAACAGGTCGTATGTTGTTTCTGAAAAGACTTGCAGAGTAGTGGAGATGCCAGCGAGGAATCCAAGATCCGAATTCAGCATCGCTCAATGTTTCTTCGTCGTGTTGAGTGAAGAGAAGAATGTCGAGGTCCATATGCGTCGACTGCAAATATTCGCAGGCAAACTCGCGGTACACCTCTAGATGTGTCCCATAATAGGTTGGCATCAACTCAGGCGGTCTTGGAGTGGAATTTGGTAGACCGAGGCAAGCATAGACCCTGTCCCTTGCATCGGTCACACTCAGGACCCTTGCACAGTCCAGAACCTGCAGCATTGTCAAAGACGGATCGTGACCTGCAGGCCTGGTCGTTATCGTCTCTTGCTTCCGCCTGAGGTGAAAGGGCATGAGATGTAACCAAGATATCGACCGGTCGCCAAAAACCCTGAAATGAATCGTAATGGCTCTGTGGTGAACCCAAGAGTAAGCACGCAAGAATTGGAGCCAGTCGATCTCCACGTCGCCCCAAAGTATGCGCGCGTCTGGCCCCAGTGCTGCTTCTTGCACCACCCAGCCTCTGCGGAACCACGGCTGCCCTGTGAGGATGGCAACGGATTCCCATCGTGCATCCGACAGGAGAGGATCATCTGGATCTGGTACCGGAAAACTGTCAGGCTCCCAAGAGAAGCCCTTGTGCTGCAGCACCCGATCCATCATGGCGTTCACGTCGGCGAGCAAACCTGCTGCAGCTACGGCATGGGCCTCGGCATCATTTTGGCCCAGACATATGACCGTACAGCTAGACTTTCTGTAAATCTCAGCCATGAGCGCCACCTGCAGCCCCTTCTCCTCCCTGTCTTCCTGATTGATGCAGATAGAGTCGACCCATAGGGCGCGAGGCTCAAGTTTGCTTCGAGCCTGGACGAGGGCATCCCTCAGGTTCACCGTGATGTAGATGCTTTTGTCATCGCACGAAATACGCTCCGTCATTGAGGGCGTTCCCCAAACGTAAGATAAAGCCTCGAAATGAGCAACATCAAGTCCGGATGTGTGAAGCTTGCAGACGATAGGATCGTCCGGTTCACCTGGCTCGAGGAGTAGGAATCTGATGTATCTTCCAAGAGGCAAGGGCTCGTAGAGGCTACTTTGGTGCCAGGATGAAGCCTCTTCGGCCGTCTTAATAGGTTCAAGAGTCGCCTCTTTAGCCGACATTGCTGCAAATAAAACGCACTAATATGCGTCAGAGTGAGGATATAGTTCACGCGATGAAGGCTTATAGGGAAATTTGTGAGCAACCGGAGACGAACAGAAATGGGCGACAGCTGAAAGAGGCTGGTCTTGCTGACTGCTGCTGCCTGGCCTCTTAGTAATCATAGGAATTTCCGAGCGCCGCTAAAGCGGCCTGCAAAACAACCTTAAGGATTCATCAGAGCAGCGGTCATACAGGGCAGTGGTTGTAAGTTGTCATTATCTCACACCCATTTCCTTCGCCGGCCGTTTTGTACCCTCCAACCGCGTGTCAAAATGATAACACAGACAACGTCCATCATCATATTCTCGCCAATGGCGCTGTCCCAAGCCTCTCGAGTTTAGCCAAGCTCGTTCACGCCGCTCTCGCCTCCCACGCCCTGCAGTGGGTTGCTCTGATCGTCCCTTTTTGTGTAAATCCCTGCAGTGTCCTCCCAGAGCACACAAATAAGGGTCATCTGGGTTCTCACTTCTTCTTCGACTTGAGATTCTGGACACCAACCCCAGCCAGGAAAAGAATCCTGATTGCAGTGACCAATCCAGTGAAAAGGATGTTGGACCAGTCCGCCGAGCGCATAGCTCCCAAGCTCAGCCGATCCTGCTGCTCCAGAGTGGCATAATTACTGGCAAGCATTGCAATGTCAACAACCAGGACTGCCGTGATAATGACCCTCCACACCTGGATATCCTTGCTGATGCGTAGGGCGCCTCCGAGTATGATGGCCACGAATGCATATAAAGCGGCTAGCTGGTGGAGGAGGAAGCCCTGGTCGGGGTTGTACGCCGATAGAGGTGGCGGAACAAAGGCGTCCAGCACAACTTGAGGGGTAAACACAAGCGCGTATACTGTTACGGCTAGTACAGCAGGGTCTAGCCATAAGAACCAGATGCGATAAAAGATGTGGATTTTTGGCAGCGCCATAATGACAGACTGATGAGTGAGAAAGAGCGTGGAGGAGGAGGAAATGAAAGGTGGCCAGTCACTCAGAGTAACGGCAGAGCGGAAGTAAACATGCGTTTTAGCCCTTGCGTGGGGCCCACGGATTCAGGTGCGCCAACCCAGTTGATCCCTGTACCAACAGATCCTTCAACGCCACAAGAGAACACAACCAGTCCATCCGTAGCCAATCGCCATCCGAATTGCTCAATGGAAAGAAGTTCTGAGGTTCTGGGTGGAACGCAACCTCCCTCACCTTCCAAGCTCATTTGGTTGAGTGACTAGCCTCATCTTGACACTGGGCTTGTGGGAAAGTACTGGGAGATGTGTCCGAGAGCTGGCTCGGTGGTATCGATTGGTCTCCTGGCAAATAATCACGGTGGGCAAAAAAGGACAACCAGAGTAAGAAGTGGCACCCGCAGTCTGTCGGCCGCCTTCTTGTTCTTTGCAAAGTCTCTGTCCGGTCAGCTTCACACATGCCTGAACCAGCGGAGGAGGCTCCCCAGCTACATTAGCGCAAGGCAAACAAAACTAGCCTTATAAGCACGACTCTAACAAGATTTCACAGCGAAGTAGCTACACTACAACCCATTTGATAGAGATGACGTGCACAACCGTTCTTGCGACGGTGCCTTCGCTTTTTGGCCGTCCGTAACGCCATCTCTTCTCTCCACATCCTTGCACCATGTGCTCAGCCTGGCAGGCGGGAGAGCCGCTGCCTGGAGACCAGGCACGCTCCAGCATATTGGTGTCTTTGTCATTTTGGGAATATGGCGCATTCAAAAAGGCGTTAGACTCGATTTCGAATAATTTCTCTTTCGTGTCAATCCGTACTGCCACTCGGTAGCGGCATAGCCGGCGGCGCCGCTACTAACGGCACACTATCGCTCACTCCCTCAAAAGTGCAAAAAAGTACAGCCTATGTGACCTCGTAATGTTGATCGAACCGCGGTATTATTTTCAATGCTACAGTTCGACTGAGTTCTAGGAAAACGACGGAAAACGACGATAAATTCCATTGCCTCTCGTGGCGGCCGCAACACGGATCACCGTCTGCATAGCGCTATTGTATTGATGTAATCCGAGGCGAACGGCGCTGTCCTCACATGTACTCTGTTTTGCACCGGTCCTGAGACTGCAGCGTCGACCTCGCGATCTTGGTTTGAATGGTATGCGCCTTAATGGATGTGATAAGTCCAAGTTTCGGATTTGAATTCCAGCGATTCCGATACATCTTGGAACGCCATCGGTCCGTTCCGGGGTGGTGATCAATTATGGGGCAATGCATGGCGTTAACTTCCATTCGCCAGATGTGACCGGAGCCGAAGCGGTGCCGTAGTGCTAAACCCTGAAATCATACGTTGAGAGAGCTCCGTTTGCACATGCTTTGTCTGTGTAAGTTCGGACAGTCGGCGGTTACACAAATGCCACGAGAGTCTACTGCACAATGTACCTTCTTGTGCTCAAGCTCATGAGATTGGGCAACGCTTCTATCAGGAAGAATGTATACCCTGCTTCTGCCAGCTCCCAAAACTAGTGTACGCAATGAATGGCACCACCGCAACCTGGCATCTGGGCGTGGGCCCGACTTGGTAGCTGCTTCAATTTGCATGAACTTCGGACAGCTTAAGTCCCCGGGCGTCAAGGTATAAAACCGGCATCTGGGCAAGATCCAAACAGGATAAAAGATGTCTCAGGCAGATGAAGAAGAATGCTGCATCGGCCCGTGAGGATCGGCCACTCCCCGCCCAAGAAGCACACCATCGAAACGCACCATAAGTCACTGTAGTCATGGCAGCTGCCAACGAGGACCTGAAGAAGAAATACGACGCCGAGCGAGACAAGCGCCTCCGCCGCGATAACCTCGCTCAGTTCATCGACTTCTGGTCTCCCGAGCTGCAAGATCTGGACAAGAACCCGTTCATCGACTACGATGCCATCGCGGCCCAGGGGCTGCCCCCTCAGGCCCAGGACGGCATCGAGCTGACGCTGCTCGTCATCGGGGCCGCCCACACTGGAATCCATGCTGCTGCTCGCGCCATCGAGGCTGGCATTCCAAAGGAGAAGGTCCTCTGCGTCGACAACGACGGCGGGTTTGGCGGGACCTGGTAATGGAACCGATATCCTGGTGTCATGTGTGATGTGGAGGGCTACGTCTACCTCCCTCTGCTTGAAGAGACTGGATACCATCCCAAGCATAGATAGTGAGTATACCGCGGAGTTTATCGCGGTTCACGAGCTTCCGGGGAAACTACTGCAATACTAATAGACCATTCCAACTCCTACGGTGCAGAGATCCGCGGTCAGGACGAGCGTGCTGCTGCCCACTATGGAGTGACCGGCTTGTTCTCGACCGTCATCAAGAAACAGGTCTGGGACGAGACCTCGGCGAGATGGGTCGTGAGCATGACCCAGGAGCGCGGGCCCGGCCGCGAAGCGCAGGACATCACCCTGCGCGCCCAGTTCGTCATCCACGCCGCGGGTCCCTTCTCGACGCCTCACATCCCCAAGCTCCCGGGCCTCGACAAATTCCGCCAGAGCAAGCCCATCGTGCACTCGGCCCGTTGGGACTGGGGGCTCGTCGGGGGCTCGCAGGAGCAGCCTGACATGGTCAAGTTGCGCGACAAGCGGGTCGCCGTCATTGGAACCGGCGCGACGGCTGTGCAGATCATCCCCGAGGTGGCCAAGTGGGCTAAGCATTTATACGTGGTTCAACGCACGCCGTCGTATATAGGGCCCCGTGGCCAGACGGAGACAACCGACGACACGTGGTCCAAGGTGGCCACGGGCAAGGGATGGCAGAGAGACCGCATGGACCACTTCGACTCGTTTGTGTCCAACGTCCCGGACCCTATCGATCATATCAAGGACGGTGTAAGCAGCTACTGAATTCGCCCCTTTGAGCCTCATGTTCCCTCTTAACTTGTTGTCTCGACTGAAATACTCCGCGGCTAATATGCGAAACGGTAGTGGACTGAGACGCGAACTTTCTCCGGAATCTCCGGAGGAGGCGGAAAGATAATCAAGCCGCAGGATGTAGAAAAACACCACGCAGCCATGTTCGAGCTCGATTTGCCACGAGCCGAAAGCTGAGGCGATACATCGACAGCAAGGTCCGCGACAAATCCGTCGCCGAGAAGCTTAAGCCCTGGTACGGTGGCTGGTGCAAGCGGCCAGCATTCCACGACGAATACCTCGACATCTTCAACCGCGAGAACGTCACGCTAGTTGACACCGACGGCAAGGGCATCGAAAGCTACTCTGAGAAAGGTCTCGTGGCCAACGGCAAGGAGTACGAGGTCGACCTCATCGTGTTCGCCACGGGCTTCACGATCGCAGGACACAAAGGCGGCTGCCCGTCGCAGCAGACACGGGTCCCAATCATCGGGCGTGATGGGCGCAACTTGGAGGATAAGTGGATGGGGCCCGACTTTGGCACTCTTTTCGGTTCGGCGACCAACGGCTTTCCGAACTACTTCTTTCCCGGCGTCAGGAACCGTGCTAAATAACATTCAACTCGATAGCCAATCAATGCCGGCGCCACTCCTAACATCACTTCTACGGCCGACCTGACCGCGAGAGTCGTCGCGCACATTATCACCAAGGCACGCGAGGAAGCCCTCGTTGCGGACCGGGTTGTGGTGGAGGCAAACCTCTCCGCCGAGGCCATGTGGACCGACGAGGTCAAACGCAGGGCGCTCTATTTCAGCGTCATGCCGACCTGCACCCCGTCATATTTCAATGCAGAGCGCAAGGATGCGTTCGAAGAAAAGTCTCCCGAGCAGATTGAGGCCCAGATGAAGCGCATGCCATGGGGGACTGGTCCCCTCGACTACAAGGCTCGGGTGCTTTCCTGGATGCAATTCGGCTCACTAGATGGATTCAGTGTCCGCAATTAGACATGTCAAGAAACAATGATGTCATACATGAAGAGCGTTACAAGATATCTCTGTTGTGTATTGAAAAGCCACCTAAATATGTTTAATATTCAAATCCCAGCGATCTTAAATCCCACTAGTAAATTTATCCAAACTATTAAACCTACTCAGAGAGTGAGTAAATCGGTATAGCTGCGGCGGCGGCTCCGGAGGCCCTCCGAGTCGGCGCACCTGTCATGGGGTGAGCCCACTGAGCATCGTCTTGGGATCTGAGAGAGCATTGAGCGCACTTGAATAGCCCTCCTGGAGTTTCTCAAGTCGAAATCCTAAACTGCTGCTGAATCAAAGTCCATTCTATCATGGGTATTTTCGATCGGCCGGCACCAACCGACAGCCTTGCTAGTATATCTATCTGGATACAACTCGTGTTTACCGGAAACGATCGCAAATTGTTTCAAGCAGAGGCCCATGTCGCCACACGTGCAGTCAGCAGCTACCAAAGTGGCCGGTGGAAAGACTGACACCACCGTGCCGAGTCTTTCACTTCAAAGCCCAGAATGAACCCCACCCCACCATGCAAACTAATGTGCGAAGATACCTGTCCGCGTGGGCCATGGGCGGACACCCGCATGCTCTCCCACGGTCTAGAAGCAGCAGAAGGTCTAGAAGGACTTTTAAAGACGTTCATGATTGCAGACATGCTGACATGGTGTTAGACGTGCATGAGTAGCTCGCAATCGCCTTGGCAAATCTCGCTTCGAAGCCTCCAGGCTGCAGCCAACAGAGAGTGGCAAACCATGCCTGCGTGCTGGGTGCTGGTTCGGAATGGCTGCCGAGTCTATTCCAGATCCGACCACTCGGCCCGCCTGAAGGATTCTCGCTTGCATGGTCGAGTGGACGGGGGCTCATACTGCTGTGGCCCAATAAGATGCGTTCACCGCTACGAAAGATGGCCTGGGAGTATCATGAGTCGAGTTGTCATTGACATGCGGAGGCCACGGCGACATGCATGCACCATATGAAGCAAAATGACGAGGAGAGCGTCGTGCACAGCTTTGGTTCCTGCTTGTTCAACTGCCGAGGGGCCTTCCAGAAGCCATCTCTCTTTCATCGCTTCCGGCGCAGCGCCTCAGAGGCTCTCAGGTCCAACCGAAGAGCATCGTGAAAGGCATGGTGTACCTAGCTGCATGTGCTGGGAAAATCGGAGCTAGCGGCCCAGGAAGCAGCCTAGAACGCGGAGACACCTTGCATGGTAATTTGTCCGCCAAAGACATGGCCCGCATGTACACGCTGCGCAAGTCGCAAGTCGTACAACCATACTAGTTGACTGTGAATTTCGACGATCCACAGATAGACCGAGGCCTCGCACTTGGCCCACCCTCACCGTTTAGCTACCGGGGTGAAGGACACTAGGTATATAGCATCAAGCTCACGATGGAGAATCCCACTTCAGCCCGCTCTCTTTTTCACGTGTACAGTCAGTCCCTTTAGACTCCCGCAAAGACTTCACTTCACCCCCCTCGGCATTGCACGACATGGTAAAGCTACTGTCTTGGGGCGCTGTGTGCACCTCTGCCGCTCTGGTGGCCGGTGCGACCGCCGAGAATGCGGATGCCGAGTATGACTACGTGATTGTCGGAGGAGGTCTCACCGGCCTCGTCGCAGCGGCACGTCTGTCCGAGGATGCTGATGGTAAGATGACCCCAAGGGACTTTCCCTCAAACTGTTCTAACCAGGAAACAGTATCGGTTTTGGTCTTGGATTACGGCACGTTCGATCGCAGTAACAAGACGCAGATACCGTACTATGCCACCGTGATCAGCACGTCCGGGCCAAGCAATCTGCGCGACATCCCTTCCGTCCCGGAACCGGGTCTAGGCAACCAAACATTCGGCGTCAGGGTGTCACAGGTTATCGGGGGCGGGTCGCAGGTCAATGGAATGACCTGGGACTACCCCTCGGTCGCCGACATCGACGCATTCGAGGCTCTAGGGAACCCAGGCTGGGGATGGGAAGGCTTGAACCCTTACATGAGAAAGGTGCGTTGCTCCGGTGGCTGTCCTAGATGCGTCTTGTTATTAACTTTGCCCGTTCCCAGTCTGTGACATTCACAGCGCCGAGTCCCGAGATTGAGGCCAAGTACAACTACTCGTACGACGTATCCGCATGGGGCCAAGATGGGCCTGCGCAAGCCAGCTATCCCGAGTGGCAAGCCCCTGACTTGTGTATGCACACCGAATCGTGAGGATGAGGATACGACTCCGGAAGCTGACCTGCCACAGACAAGATTATCGAAGCTTTTGACGAGCTTGGCTTGCCATTTGTGGAGGAGCATGCGACTGGAAAGGCTGTGGGTCACTATTGGGCCCCGTCGTCCATAGATCCCGCGAACAAGACACGCTCCTCTTCCTTGTACGCGTACTACGACAAGGTGTCCTCCCGCAGTAACCTCAAGCTCCTGCCCATGCACCAGGTCAGGGAGATTCTCTTCGACGACACCACCGGCAGCAACTCATCGCTTGTGGCGACTGGTGTCAAGGTCCTGAACCGGTCCAACAACGACACCCTGGTGTTCTCGGCGAACAAGGAGGTGATCCTCGCGGCCGGCGGCGTCTTCACCCCGCAGCTCCTCCAGCTGAGCGGCATCGGGCCCAAGGCCGTGCTCGAGGCAGCCGGCGTCGAGACCAAGATCGACTTCCCGGCGGTCGGGAGCAACTTCCAGGACCACCCCGTGGCATACATCAGCTGGACAGTGAACAACACGTTCCCTACCCCCTCGGAGCCATCCACCAACACGTCTTTCTTCAACGAGGCCTACGACCTCTACCACCAGAATCATACCGGGCCCCTGACAAAGGCACAGGCCACCTACATCGCATTCCCCTCTCTGGGTATGCTCACCAACGCCTCCGCGTCCCTCGTCGACGCCCTCGAGGCCCAGGACCCCACCGCTCACCTGCCCGCCATCTACGCCGACAACACCGCCCTCCAGGCCGGCTTCGAGCATCAGCGCACCGTCCTGGCCGCCGACCTCCGCGCCGGCACCGTCGCCGCCGCCGAGCTCCCGGCCGCGGGCGGCGGCGTCATGGCCAACGCGATCATGAAGCCAATGTCCCGCGGCACCGTGCACCTCTCCCCATCGGACCCGCACGGCATCCCCGACGTCCTCCACAACGCGCTGGTGAACCCCTTCGACCGCTCCGTGCTGCTCGCCTCCGTGGGGTACACGCGGCGGGTGTACTCCAGCGATGCCACCGCATCGTTGGCACCCGTGGAGGTTGTCCCCGGCGCGGGTGCGACCACGGAGGATGCCGTGGTCGAGGCGCTGCTGGGCGCCGGCTTACTGAACCCGACGTTCGCGCACCCCAGCTGCAGCTGCCCCATGATGCCGCGCGAGCTGGGCGGGGTTGTGGACCCGGAGCTGAGGGTGTATGGGACGGAGCGGTTGAGTATTATTGATGCGAGCATACTGCCTGTCATCCCGGCTGCGCACTTGCAGGCTACTATGTATGCTGTTGCTGAGAAGGCTAGTGATATTATCAAGAAGAGGGCGTAAAAAGGGCACGCTTGGCAGCCAGACCAGAGTATTATTAATACATGACAGCTTCGATAAAGCTCTGCTTGAAGATCTCCACCATCTTGTCGTTCGGGTCTGGGATAATCTGTCTCCAGAGTCCGTTTGCTCACAAGAACCTGTCGGAGTCGGATGAGCCGTGCCACCATTGATGCTGCCGTACGACAGCTGCTAAGAAGGAGCCACTACTTACTCACCACTGCTTCGTCTAGCCGCTCTGGGTAAAGGAGTCCACACTCGTGAATCAGGCCCAGCTTGTCCGTACCACAAAACCGAACTTATTGGCGAGTAGTGCGTACTCTCAAGTCCGGAAGATGCCGTCGGGCTTGCCAAAAATAGCAGCACTCTTCTCTGTTTATCAGGCTGTGCCAATTATGCAATTCTTTCTTCAGCAGCTTGCTGACAGGATGATGCTCAGCAACGCCACGTGCACATCTGGGCTTACCGTTACACAGACACACAAGCATTCCAAATGTTTTTTCCCTGTAGATACAAATCAACTATGCCTTTTCAGGAAGAGGTAGCTTGCCCATACAAATCAGCTGCAAAGTGTACAGATCTTCAAAAGATCTGGAGAAACCCACTGTCTAGCAGTATGTTCTTCCAGTGAGAATTCCTGGTGAGAAAGACTTGGCAACAAACTGACCAATTACCGACTGTATGACAGCGAAACATTTGGGATGCTTGTACATGGAATCTCACTCGCTATTTTTGGCGCCAAAGTTTCCTGCAGATTGGTGTGTTACACACCATTGGGAATTTGATATCCGTCCAGCTGCGCCTTGCGTGCAGCGCACGCAGTCCTGAGAGTGTTGCTGTATGAGGCTGCAGGATCTGTGGAACCTGGAGAATCCTACATTCAGCTAGGAAAGTTGTTATTTGAAATAGGATAGTATACTACATATATTTGTAAATAATGAAATGCTTATATAGCTATGCTCATCAGGCTGTCTGAGTTGGCGGCGGTTTGACAAGGCTTCTGCATTCTTCAGAGCAGAAACGCTAAGATCGCCATATCAGCTCGCGGAGTTCTTCCTTCTTTGTTTTTAATTCTGCTTTTTCGAGCAACTACAGTTCTCTCACAGTCAACCTAAAATGGCCAGGGGAGACAAAACAAAGGCAGCTGGTGCAGTCGCCATGGCGAGCTTCGGCACCGCCTTCTTCGATTTCACCGGCGCTTCAGCCGTCACATGCTTAGCTAGCGGCACCGGCTTCGCCATCGGCAGCACCTACCATATCACCCACGGGTCCCTCAAACTCATCAAAGAGGGCATGGCCTCCAACCGGGAAAACAAAGCTGCCGCGAACACCTTCGGCATCCCCCCCGCAGTCCATGTCGATATGCAAGAAACTATCGAGAACCGTACGTGGTCTTTTAAATCACTCCGTGGTAAGCCTTTGCTGACCGCATCCCTTGTGCAGACTTCCGCCGCCTCGCAGCCTCCCTCTTTGGGTGTTCGATCCAAGGGACACTGTTCTGCGTGATGCCACACGCCGGGGTCGGGCTAGCGATCAACGTCACCGAGCTGACATACACCAAGCACAAGCTGAGCCAGCTGAGCCGAAGCGTCGGCGGCAAGAGGAAACTGATGGAGATGGTGTCCCTCCGGAATGCCGGGGTGCAGGCCCTGACGGGACTGCTCATCAAAGGAACGGTGTCGACACTGTTCCTGGGCAGTGAGGTCGACACCTTCCTGGACACGGCGCACAAGTCCATCGAGGCCTTCTCGGTAAGCGGCGCAGAGAACATCGAGGCGGCGCAGGAGTTCCGCGAGGATATGGTTAAGCTGCACCCGTTCGCGGAGACGACTGCATTGGCGTCCGCGATGCCCGATGAGTATAAAGACTACATTGGTCTTGAGAACAGGTTTGAGTCTTTGAATATGGATGGGGGGATGGAGATCCGGTGGGGTGATCCTGTGACCTCTGGGGAGACATTGACTGTCGGTGCTTACGCCGCGACTTCTGATGTTGTTGTTAAGAATGTTGTGGAGATGCCTTTGGATGACGGAGTGAAGAGATTGACAAGCCAAGAGAAGAACAGGTGAGCATCAGTCTCACAAAGTGCTGCCTGAAACCTTGACTCCTTTTACACCTTCCGAGTGCAGCCCGATCTGTGATCAAAAGAATTAGCAGTGAAATTTCGCGAGCAAGATTGCGGCAGGAAATCCTCCTTGAAGCGATGTATAGTTGGACCGGATATACATCCCCCTATATAAAAGTTTAAGGCAACTGATGAAATGTATTGAACGTTGCATAATCAACTATACTTGCAGACATAACACTAACGTTCCTTTGCACCCTTTTCAAAGACGCACGAACACCCTTATTCACGTGACCCTGCATTGACTGCCATGTTCATCAACGAGACTGCGAGAAGGACGCTAAAATTAGAAGTCATTATGTCTTCAGGCCATGGAATGGTGTGCTTGAGCTAGCTTGTACTGCGCTGTTCCTACTTTACAGCCAACAGAAATCTGCTGGATGCAACTTGCCCGCCTCTGAACTGTGCTCCATGGAGACACCACTCTCCCACTGTGTGTGAGGTTACTCGTTGTGGCGGTATTCGATCAGCTGTCAGAGTCGTGCTGATGCTGCGCGGCGTAAAACGGCCTTCCCTGATTCGTTGGCGCGGACAGCCAGGCGGCGCAGGCTTGCTGTTCTCCGTGTTAGGGAATACCTATGAACATGCAGCGGCGCCAAGCCACCCGCAAATGCATAGGTGATTGGAAACAGCGCACCTTGGTCATCTCGCAATATTCCAAGTATGCAGTGCTCCCTATGATCTTGTGTAAAATCTGAGAGTATAAGTCGAGTCAAGGAGCCCACAGCCATCTTTTGAGTCACCGGCGATTCTGCTTCGCCTTTTATGAAGGCGAAGGGATATGAGACACGGCGCTCTGTTTCTGGTAGTCAAGTGAGGTTGCGGTGGGTTCCGCTCCCTGACTGTGCCGCAATCGGCCGTTGCCGGGAAAAGCTATCGAAGAAGGAATATTGCTGTTTCGAAGACTCCTTTCCAGGCATACGCGTGACTGCATGTTATTGGTCGAAAGGGTACCAATGTGAGCTGCTTTTCTTTTTAGCTTGCACGTCCCAGGAGTATAATAGAGGACATGGATCGTAAGTCTCAGCGACTGAATCTCGCAAACACAACATCACACCCCTCACACGATACTTCAGTATAGGAAACAAATTTTCATGCGTCGCAAGGCTGTCACCGCATACTTCAGTTACTATTTTAAGGGCTCACTATCAAAAATTGCCGACGATGATGACAACGAAGCTCCGAACACGTCCCGCCCTTGAACATGAACGGCAGGCTTTGGCCAAGGTCGCGGCCGCAGCCTTTTTGGACGACCTTTTCGACTCCTACATGTATCCAAAGAGGAAGCAACACTACAGATCCTACCAGAGACTATACCAGCAAAGGTTTGACTCTCACATCAACCAATCTCTCTGCTGGGTTATGGTTGCCGAAGCTATCACCCAAGTACACGATATGAATGGCAAAGTCAGCTACGAGGGCGCCACGCCAGCGGCATATGCCATCTGGACTCGGGAGTCAGCCAAGAAGACGAAGCAGACACAAAGGCGGCTGCAAGCGCTGGGCCTGCGGGATGCAACCGCCGGTGTGTCGCCGATGCAACGATTCAAGAAACGGATAATGAACTGCGGCCTCGTCGAGGCAATTCGCGATAGGTCCAACCCTGTCGTGGACAGGAAGCGCTTTAGCGCGTTCTGGGAAAGTCTCAGCGATATGGATGACGACAGCGACTCCGACAGCGAGCCAGAAGAGTACTGGCACCTCCAGGAGCTTGCGGTAGCGCCGGAGTTCCGCCGTCGTGGCGCGGGAGGGGCACTGCTGAGATGGGGGCAGGATTGGGCTCGAAAGGAGGACGTGCCGATTCTTCTTGAATCAACTCCAATGGGGAAATCCTTGTATGAGGGGCAGGGGTTCTTGCAATACGATATCTGGGAGTGGGGCGACAAACCTGACATGGCTTGGTATATGATGCGGTGGCAGCCATCCGTCGCAACTTAAGGATCAGTTTGGATACCTAGCTGCAAGATTTAGTATTTTGATCACATTCAGTGTTAAGGTGTACAAGATTCGTAAGCCCAAGCCTACCTTGGAATGCTCAGTTGTTAGCATACACTTGGTAATGACCGTGAAGTTGAATGGGGACTCTTAAAACTCAGTCGAGGCCATCTTTTAAGCACTGCCGGAATAATCCGAACTGTCCATGGGAACTTGGGTCTTGCTCTGTCCTGAAATGGGTCAGTCCTTCAAATATACCATTGTCACTATCCTGCGCCATGGCCCGGGCAGCGTTGTGCCTCTCGAGGCCACTCAACCGTATCCAGTAGCCAATATGTGGTAATTAGAATCGAACATTAGCTTGGCTTGCGTTGATTCCAGGCGCGCAGATTCTTTTGTGGCGAATCAAGGTAATGTGGCACGTATCATCACATCAGAACTGCCACCACTCCAACCCATGCCATTGCTGAGTATAGACTTGAGTATATACACCTTTAAGTATTTGAATCTGTAGCTTCATTGTTTAGCATATGAAATACATCTATACCCTGACCTCCTAATCTCATAGCCGCAATGCTGTTCGTCTACTGTAAGACTGTGGCCAAAGAGAACTGCCTTGCGTCTAGGTTGGGCATCAACCTGCATGGACAGCAGCGCCACTTTCTGAAGTTACACAACAACATTTTACGTGCCACCACCAATCGACTTCGTTCCGGGGCTCTGTGCTGACGGTTCCTCGGCTCTCCCCTCTTCTCCTCTTTGTCCGCACCGCAAGACTTCACCAGGTCTTCGCTCTCAGCTCTTTTGACGTCTTCATACCCTGCCCATAGCAAGCTTGTTGCATAGACAAAACAGGCCGAGGCTGCCCGATATCACCGGATACCACTCGGATAATCGTAACAGTACCTCCAGCTGGAACGCCCAGGGCCCAAGCACCACAATCCCAGAAAAAAGCCAAAATGTCCGGCCTTGAGCCCATCGCAGCTTTAGGCCTTGCCTGCAACATTCTCCAGCTTGCAGAGCTGGGGAAGAAGACAATCGACCGCATCAAGGTAGTCTATCAGGGCGGAAAGCCAGACGAAGAACTCGAACAAGGCGCTGCTGTCCTGGAGGAACTGGCAAAGGAGTTAAAAAAGCACAGCCAACCTGGACGGAAGAAGTACGAGGAGATCCTACTCAAATCAGCCACTACCTGCGCTACTGCAGCAAGCGATCTGGGCGAGGAACTGCGTTTCTTGTTTGAAAATGCAAGGAAGGGGAGCCTCGTGTCTGCGCTCAAGGTCACGACAAGAGTCGCCTGGCGACAACGCCGATTGGAAAGATTGAGGCGGAACCTAGATGCGGAGGACAACGGATGCAAACAAGCCTTTTGGCGCAAGTGTGGTAAGCTTCAGAATCTTGTTCGATCACCCGAAGCCTTCATTGTCGTCAGGGTGATCTTCGCAGTCACGAGCAATCGATTTGTTCCAGATCCCCTACACCATCTATGATGGACATCCGCTTCCCACGTGCTCTTCTTCGTCTTTCCAGTCACCTGTCTACCCTCTTGGTATCCTCTCTTTCGTTCAAAACATCTTCAGCTTGCAGCTAATAGTATCTGAATCGATCAGGTCAAGTACCAACGCAGCTGGCGTTGAGTTCACCGGCGTGAGACGGGAGCTCCGTTTCTTTATCGAACAGTACAGACAAGGCCGACGAGAAACGACCGAGCTAGTGGCTGCAGAAGGTCTGAACACACGAAAGCACATCTCAGTTGAGGCCGAACGAATCAACGAGGCAGTGGGGTTGGTCGACCAAAAGGTGGATCGCCTCACTGCACTGGAAGGTGCACAGGTGGACGAACGAGTCCGCGAGCGTTTCCTCGAGAGCCTGAAATATCCAGGGTTCAATCAGCGTCGAAATCAGATCGACGCTGCCTATGGCGACACATTGAAGTGGATATTCGTCGGTGACAACGACGAAGAGTCGAACGACGATTCCGGCTCCGATGAGTATGACGACTCTTATGGAGATTACGACTCCGACAGCAACGAGCCTGGTGAAGTGGATGACGAAATGGAATTGGACCAAGGTCACAACTCCGACGAAGAACATATCTCTGACCACAATATGGGCGATTATGGACAGCATGACTCCCGAGACGCATTCAACACCGGGGCAAGTGACACCGCCGGCGAAGCATCCTGGAGCACTGTCTCAGATTCGAATGTCACTGACTCGGAAGAAGAAGAGAATCGCGACCACGGAGCTTTCTGGAGAATCAAGTGGGATAGCTTCTCGAACTGGCTCAGCTCGACGGATGTCATCTACTGGATCAGCGGAAAGCCAGGCCCAGGCAAGACGACAGTGGTCAAGTACATTTTGGCTGATGAACGGACAAAGAAATACCTCAATATTTGGAGTCCGGGCTGTGCGATTGTATCCCATTACTTTTGGCTACCAGGCTCCCCGATGCAGAGAAACATGGAAGGTCTCCTCAGCTCGCTGCTGTATCAGCTACTGGAGAATGACTCGAACGCGTCTATGCAGATCATGTCATCTGTTTCGGGCCAGAAAAGCTCTTACACGGATTGGTCCAGCGCTGAGCTTCATTTGGCATTTATAAGGACGTTGGGCTCGTACGAAAATGGCGTCTGCTTATTCTTGGATGGCATCGACGAGATCAAACCAGAGGATGGGACTAAGGACGGCATTCCAGAGTTTCTGGACTGGGCCATTGAGCTGTCACAGAGGAGCAAGATCAAACTATGCCTGGCAAGCCGGCCTGATCCCCATATACTGGAGACGCGATTGTCGAGGTATCCACGACTACGACTTCAAGACCTGAATTATCAAGATCTGATGGCATATGCAAAAGGGCGCGTCAAGATTCCTGAGGAGGCCATTTCTGCTGAAAAGAATGACCTCATCCAACAATTAGCCGACAAAGCCGAAGGGGTATTCTTGTGGCTCATTCTTGCAACAAAGAGTGTCAACGAGGGATTCAGGAATGAAGATAGTGTTTATGTCCTGCAAGAGAGAGTTCACCGTTTGCCTCAAGGCTTGGACGGCTTATACAAAGATATGTGGGCAAGAGCCGGCGCGGACAACCCATCTGAGTACCGTCAGACCGCCGCACTTTATTTCAAGATGCTTCTTGCATCGAAAGTCGCCATGGAAGAAATTAATGCTTTTGACATCATGCTTGCGACAACACGCCTTGCGGACAGAGTGTTGCATGCCCTGGCCGACCGGTCGAAGCTAGTTCGCGAGGACGACATGCTGCAACAGTGCAGAGAAGTGGAGAAGAAGCTGAACATATACTGTGTTGGGCTGATTCAAACGGTATCTGCCGTGAATAACGCATACGTGTCCGGTTGCAGCTGGTATGGGCACATATACGACCGAATATTCCGTGTGGCAACCAGGACAGAATTGGAGTTCATCCACCGGACCGCTAGCGACTTCCTTACCGACACAAAATCGGGCCGCGAGATACTGGGTTTCGACACCTCCTCCGATTTCTCCATCCAATGTCGGCTCCTATACGCACGACTGGCAAGTCTTGCACTAGTTCCTCAACTCCTCACCCATGCGAGCTATTTGGCCCATGACTTGAGAACCACCCTCAACAGGTGGAGGCACAATGGTAGAGAGTTACCGCTGAATTGGAACCGACTCGTGTCGGTCTGCGAACAGCTGGCGGACTCAGGAAAAATGTGGCTTAGCGAAACTGATTCCACATACTATCTCTGTAGTGGCACTCAGTTCCTGATCATCATGGCGTTCACTAGCTCTGATGACGATGAGAACGAACTACTCATCTCAAGGATAAAGAACAGATCTCTCAGTGAGAACGAGATGTGTTCCTTCCTGGTGGAATTCACTCGGATTAACAAGATCCAATCCTCGTTTCGTACCTGCCGCAAAATGCTGATGGCAGGTGCGGACCCCAACTGGCAACGGTGGTCGAACGAGGCCCCTTTTGCCAACACCCACACTGGAAGATACGGATCAATTCAGACTCCTTGGCAGCGGCTCCTGTCCTCCTTGGTCGAACTTTTGCTATTTGGGGCCCAAACTCATCGATTCGATCATAAACAGCCGCCATCATTGGCAGAGCTGACTTGCCTCGCGGAAGTGTTCGTCCTATTCGTTTCAGAGGGTGCAAGGCTGAGTTACCCGGTCAATCTCGCGTTTTGTGAGGTGGAAGGTCGACGAACCTCTCCAGATTTGGAGCGACATGTGTTCACATTCGATTCTTTGCGAGCAATCTTGCAACGCGCAATTTTCGTATCGATCCCGGCATACATGATTGTCAAACTCCTGACCAACACTCTGCGCAGCTCTTGTTGGACCTTGGATGAAGAATCTTTTCCAAAGGCCTGTATTGATCTCGAAAATGTATGTGAAAGTTACCACAATAGTGAAACATGTCGTGTGCTTGGGAAGTCGGATGTACAAAAAGAGCCGCGAATAACATCCTTCTCGTGGTGGGAGACCACTGATGACGTGCAAACGCGGCTTGGGAGCAAGCTTATGGAGTGGCTGGAAGGACAGCCTTTGTTATCCACGCCAGTTATCAAGGATGGCAATGGTTCAGTGGCAAAAAGGACTGACACTGAGCAAATATTTCAGTGTATATGGGACCACGAATCTTGGACCCTACGCACGAGAGAAATTGGGATGAGCTCCATTTTCAAGCGGCTCGTAGATCTAGGGTTCATGATGAGGCTTGATGGGGTAGTTGAGTTCCACTCAATGAAGACATGGGTCAGAAAGCACAACCTAGAAAATACGCAATACTTAACTCAAAGGTTCAGGTGTCCTTCAAACGCGTGCGTTCTGGGGGCCCGAGCTTTCTTAGTAATCTGTAGGGATAATATAGCAGTGCAAAATAAATGTAATAAAAGGATATTTAAAATTAAAATGCAAGAAAAGTTAAATAAAGGAATAATAATATATAATAAATAAAATAACACTTTTTTAATATACTTTTATTTTAAAACCTTTTTAATAAATAATCCTTATAAAAATTACATATTAAATAAAAAAAGCAATTTTTAATATATTTTTTAAATTTTTAAATTTCTTATTTTATAAAAATATAAAGTATTTAATTAAAAAAATTAAATAAAGGTATAAAAGCTACTTTTAATAACTTTTTAAAAATATATATAAAAATTATAAAAGCTTAATTAATCTTTTATTTTTATTTTAAGAAAGGTACTTACTTATTTTTAAAAAAAATTTATAAAAATAAAAATAAGATTTAAAGGGGGCTGGGCTGTTAAGGGCAAGGGGGCATCCCTTCGTTCTTATAGGGGCTGCAATTTAGTCACAGACCTCCTTAGCCGCGAAGCTGCCCCGTTCTCTCCAGCCACACCTTACGTAAGTACAAGTTTTAAGTTATACTTAGATTCGCGGCCAAGGTCGTCTGTGTGTCAGAGATAACGCAATACGGCGATACTACATGAGGAAGAGCGTTAGTGAGCAGTAAAATTTCAAGCGTTTTGCCTTACAGGCCCGACTCGAAGAGGTATGAGTGACTGGTGTCTGCAGCTTGGGCTGGACATTAGCCGAAGTTCCCAGAGGTACTGTGCAGCGTCATCTAGATAGTGACAAATCACAATGGCCGATTGCTAAGCTAACGGCGGCGTTGACCTGGGAACGGTATAGGCTCTCTATAGCAGTAGTGGCAGCAGGGTAACACATATTATAGGGCACTGCATAGCTCTAGTGTAAAACTGATCTTTACTTCAATTTGATAATCTGATAAATTCAGCTGTAGCTATAAGTCTCAGAGGACACGGAATACATTCTGAGTATGAAAGAATGCTATTGATAGAAGCATAAGCAAAGGTTAGAGGCTGGGAATCGATACGCTAGGCCGTAAAGGTCTTCTTTTCATCACTGTAATACCAAGGACATCTTTGTAGTAGATAAGACACCTTCATGTCTGCTTCTGCTTCAAGGACGAGAAAACTCTCAGGGAATAGCAGCTGGCGCGAGTGTCAGTTGAATATTGATTCGTTCTACGTTTCCATGTATCCGTTGATGTTGAGATAGCCGCTGCTGCACCCCACTGGCTTCAAACCAGTCTGCCGGGATGATTCTGTCTGGGAGATATGCAACGCCCAGTGTCTAGGAGACACATCATCTAAAAAATTTGAAAATGTACAAGAATACCGGGTCTAGACCAGAGTGTGCTGTTGTAATCTTCCTTAGGAAGACATGACTGATATTTTGGATGATTCCCTGGTGAGATTTCCCGTGCATGCTCTGCTTATATTCTTTTAGCGAACGGATAGGTTAAAACGGATGGCGCACCTGTTCTCATTACATAACTAAGCAGCCAGCCTATTACAGCTAATTAAAGCCCACTATTTACCTTAATCTTAAACACCTTACCACCCCTATAATGCTTTTTATAACTATAATAATTATTATTTAATATACCCTTAAATTATTATTAATAATAATAATAAATAATAATAATAATAATAATAATAATAATAATAATAATAATAATAATAATAATAATAATAATATATAATAATAATAATAATAATAATAATAATAATAATAATAATAATAATAATAATAATAATAATAATAATAATAATAATAATAATAATAATAATAATAATAATAATAATAATAATAATAATAATAATAATAATAATAATAATATAATAATAATAATAATAATAATAATAATAATAATAATAATAAAAAATAATCCATGAATCCTTGTTGAACCCTCTAAATACGGACTCAACCTGCTGTCGGACAGTGCCGGTAATTGTGTCAAACCACGCCTGGCATAGATGCAATGCGCCTGCTTGTCCCTTGCTGACGACCCTAACCTTGATGTCAGGCCCCCAGACAATCCGAATGAGCTCCAAGTAGAGTTCCATGTATCTTTCGGCCTATATTAGCTTGTGTCTCCTTGGAATGGCAGCCATCTACATACCTATCAGAGTCATGCTGCGACTCATGCTCGAATAGATAGTTAGGGTACGTGAGGGCCAATACCGCGATGCTTACACGCACGCGTTGGGAGTTGGCTTGAAGGAGCGCCATCTTGCGCAGTCGCTGGAAATGTGTTGTCAAGGCATCTCGGATCATATCCGTTGTGATTTTGCCTGTGTGCAAGGCCTCAAGAAGTTCAGGTCCCGAGTGCATTCCTGAGACAACCTTCTTGCGGTGCCACGCCTTTGGGATGGAGAGACACACAACCATCGTTTTGAGCGGGATACATGTATCATATTGCTCAGCTGCTTTGCCTCCAACCAAGTTGGTATTCTGTCCCCGTGGCGCTGCACTTGCTGCAAATTGGAACTCCGAATTGGTCTCTGGGTAGTCGGGGTCATCAACACGGCCCTGGAACTGGATGCGTGAGACCTGTACTTGGTTCGATTCGCTGTAATAGACCAAGGCCAGCTTAGAATGAAGACTGCCGAAGTCCTGGCCAAGAACAGCCAGGCTGTGATACGATTATAAAAGTCAGCACCAAACCCAAGAATGGGGCAAGAATGAACTCACACTTCCTCTTGGTTTTCTCTTACATCAGACATCTCAACACCATTACATGGTGATGTTAGCCACCACTCACGTCATCTCTAAACTTGTGGGCCTGCTTCTGGTAAATCGATGTCAGGAGGGAATTTAAAGCAGAAGGTCCCACAGGCGCAATGTTTGCCCCTCACGTAGGTCCGACGCGACGTGGTGTGGGCCCAAATGCATGCAGATGTACTACTTGGGTAACGCGCAACCTACCAGGGGGAAGGGGGGTCTTCGACTGGGTCACGTAATGTAATCATGTTTTGACACTTAATCAAAATTTTGTCATTATAGCGAAATAAAATATATTAAAGCTTTAAATTATATTAACGTTAACTTTATATTAATATTAATTTTATATTAGTTAATATTATTATAAATTTATATTAAAAGCTTTAATTTAAATCTTATTAATTTTAAGTTTGCTTTTATTTTTAAATATTTCCGTAATTTCATAAATCTTCCTATAATAAATAGTTAAGTTAGTAAAAAATAAATAAGTAGTTGGGTTGGGAATGAGAAAAAAAAGAGGTTTCTTTTACCCTTATATTAAGAGTTAACATTATATTAAGGGTAACATTATATATAATATATTAAGAATATTTATATATTAAGAATGTTTATATATTAGGAACGTTTATATATTAGTAACGTGTAAATAATGCAATGTACACATAAAAAAAGCATATCAAAACCTTGATTGCATGTCACTATTATGTCGCTATTCCATTAACATAGTGGTGCGATGTTGACGAAAACCCCCCTCCCCCTGGTAGGAAATTGGTGTTTGTTGCTCGGGTGGGGTGGCGGTTATCTGAACCTCGTAACAGGTGCCTTCAGACCTTCAGGATGACAAGATCTTTGTCAATGCTTACCAGGTTCCCCAGCCCATATTCACTTTGATTGAGAGTACTACGACCACAATGGTGTCAGAATCCGAGATGGAGAGAGCCCTGGAGAGAGCCGACAGGGCGGAGGCGCTCGCCAACCACTATCGCGAAGCTTTCATCCAAGTCAAGGTAGAATTCAAGCGTCTCGGAGATCTGATCAATTATCTTGAACAGCAGGCTCCTGAGCCTAACGGAGAGCCCCATCCCGACCACAGGACGCCAGACCAACGACTCAGCCGACCTCCGGCCAGGATTCCCGATGTCAGCCAGAGCTCGGTCGCCGACTTGACAATGTATCTGCTAGATGAGCTCCATGACCTGAACAGCCAGAGATTCGGGTGGATTCAACATCGTCACAGGGAGTTCCGCGAGTGGACCGAACGACGAGGGATCTGGAACCAAACAGCGAACACAATCATTCGGACACTCAAAGAAGAAGGCCGGACAGTAGATGCAGATCGCCTGGCCGTGAGGCTCCTCTCACACAACGATGTCAGCAGGCCAGGGTGGTTTGAAGTGATAGATTCGACCGGGAACGGGCAGGAAAAGGTGACAGTGACTTTTGTTCGAAGACCTCCAGGGAGACAAGCACAGCGACGGCCAACAACACTGCTGCAAGATCGAACAGCCAGATGTCCGAGCTCGAAAGGAACGCAGAGTCGGCATCAGATAGTGATACCAATATGGGGTCAAATGGAGAAATCGATACGGAGTCGGAGACCAAATCCAGCGCTGACAGCTCTGGCGACGAGTGTAAGTCTAGCCTCGCATCCATCCTATCATCACAGCAGTCTGGCTAACATCGGGAAGTGGCAGCTTCCGTGGAGGAGGAAAACCGGCCACGAAGCGCGAACATTCAAGTGCGTCAATGTACCTAGGTGTCCGTCTTTGCAGTGATGATGTACCGGTACGCTAACATGGAACAGACACCCACCAGAATAAGTCTCAGAACGAAAAAGGTCGCTTATAAGAAGTATACGAAGATGCTTATTAAAAAGTTGATGGAACTATGCAGGGAACGTGGAATAAGAGGCGATTCACCAGCAGTTGGGACGAATATAATGTTGGCGTGGAAGCTGGCCCACTTGGAATTTCCGGGGCCTGCCAGTGGTATTGAGACGAGAAACAGAGGCAGGAGACATAAGTCACGAAGGAAATAGCTGTAGAGGTGATGCCACAACCCCAAAGTCTTCACAATTTCCTTTCTGATCAATCAATCTTTCATGATCATGCCGATGTTGTAGTTGGGTGTAATTAAACAGAACTGTTTCTGAACCAAGCTGGGTAGAGCAGGGGCTATCCTTCCAGTGGGCGGATCCCAGTTCAGGATCCCTGCAGGGCCTGCCAGCCGGGAACTTAGCGCCGGTTCCAGCGCCAGTTTTTAAGCCGCATCAGTCGCGACCCACTCTCACTCCACAACATTGCTGCTTGCCAGACAACTTGCGACGCTACAACACCGTCAACGAGCTGACTCGGGATCAAACAGGATGCGACAGCAAGCCTTGAGACGCTCGAAACCAATCTCGACCCCGATCAGTGCTGCACCGAAGCGCCGTCGACAGTCAGAGAACAAACCGATACCAGACCTTCCCTCCCCGCCGCAGTCGACACCGCCGACAGCAGACAGGCCGGCAAAGAAGCGGAAGACCTACCACGATAAAGGCCAGGATCGTTCCGAGCCTCGAGACTGGGTTGAGGAAGGCTGCGACGACGAACACGACCCGCTCCGCCCGCCCAGGTTCTGGGACAACCTTTCGCACGTCCCTTTAGTGCTAGGGGCATTGGAGGAGCTCGATCGGAGGAATAATCAGGTTGCTGCTGTCTCAAGACAAGAGAAACCGGTGCCGATCGATTGCAGCCTGCCCCGATACGCCAGGTTCGGCGGCCCGGACCTTTCCGACCTCCGCGGCTTCGAGCAAGAGGAGGAGGAAGGGGAGGAAGAGGGGGAAGAGGGGGAAGAGGAGATGCCTCGAGACCAACGAGGCGGCGGGTCAGCTCGGGAAGTCAGAGGCGGTATCAACAAGCAGCGGCGCAGCACGAGAGGAGGACGATTAACTGCTTCAGACCAGAGGACAAAGTCTAGCAGCCCATATGACCCGGCGTTCCAACAACACCTCACAGACCATCGAGTCTGGCCGATGCACTACTGGTATGAGGATGGCGGAGAGCCACCACCCCCGGACAACTTTCAAGATATTTCTACGCATGTTCACGGAAATTCACGAGCTTCCCTCGAACCGGAGACGTTTACCGCTGAAGACTTCGGCCGCTTCAATAAGGCATATCATATGACTACGGCAGAGGAGCCTCGGTCGAGAACACTGGATCTCGTTGAAGGCGTGCTGTCTGTCAACACAAAACAGGTCAAGCGGGGGCCTGTGAAGATGAGCCGGCTATATCCACTGACGCCCGACCAACTGGTACCTGGTTATCCAGATCGTGCTTATGGAGCGCGGCCTAGGACTCTCGACCGGGCGGTTCGTGATGATCCTCAATTGCAAGACCTCATCCTCCCAACTGCTTCCCAAGATATCCTCTGCCCCAACTTTATCGTTCATGTCAAAGGCCCAGGAGGGTCCCAGGAAGTAGCCGACGTGCAAGCTGTGTATGATGGTGCTCTCGCGGCTCGGGGCATGGAAGCACTCTGGGCATTCGGCAGTGAGGGAGGTGATGTGGATCAGCTGCATGCTGCTCGGACTCTCACGTGTACCTTTGCTGCTGGGGTGCTGAGGATGTATTGTGTTCACATCCGTCCTTGCGGCTCTGCTACGAGCCGTGTGCAGCGTCAGCAGTCTGCGTCTCGGCACTCTGAAGATGGCGTCGAGTACATCACAAGCAAGGTTGGTTCTTGGTTCCTCGATGAATCGCTGGAGGATCTGCGCAAGGCGGCAGGAGCCTTTCGCAATGGTTTGGAGTGGGCACAGAAGCAACTCGACGAGGCCATCGACCGGGCTAATCGAAGATTGGACGCAAGGCAAGGTGTGCCTTCAGAGTTAAGCGCGGATGACTCTGGTACCAGGCCTGGCAGTTCAAGCTCTGCGGACCCAATCGCGTGACCAGGTTTACTGTAGGTCTGGCCAAGGCATTGTGGATGCCAATGTCTGAAGCTGGCGGACTCCCAGTACGACACGCAGAACACGCAGCTCGAGGGAAACTGGGGCGCTTTGTGATCAATATCGGTTTCTCCGCCTGGCAGCAAGTTGCTCATACTCCTTCTAGACCAATTCAGAGAAATGTGCTCGCCCTTTCTTGCCCATCGAAACCCTCATGGAAGATGTTCTCCTCGCTTCAGGGTATCTCTCAATGCTTCACGGACAGCGCGGCCTCGCATTCCGTGATTTGCTTGTCGAGCAAACCACGCTTCGTGCACTTGTCATCCGTGCCCGACTGCCATGCCCGGCCCAATCGCCAGGTGCGGGGGGCGATGAAGGTTTGTGTGTGGACCAATGAGCCAGGGGTGTAGCGGCAGGAGCTGCGGGGATTCCCACGAGGACCTTGGCGCGTCCGAGACACGCTCGACCTCCCTCCATGTGAGCTTGAGAACATCTGAGGCTTTGCTAATCGCCAATCATGGTGGCTAGGTTAAACTCGGAAAAGCGCCATGCAAGTGACTCGCGGCTACCACAGCAGGGTGGACCAAGTCTGCTGCTCATGGAACCCCAGCTGCGTTGCCGTCAACCTTGTTGAGCAAAGTTCAAACGCACCAGGTTGTCAAACCCCAGTGCCAATCCAAATAGCAGCCCTCACATATCTTCTCACTGCACATGGCCAAGTTCCAAGCAAATTTCTTCACGATTTATTCCACAGATCGTGCATACAGCGCAGTCACTCGATTCCGCCCAGCACTCAAGGGGTGTAAACGGCAATAGCTGGAGGCACGCGACGATTCTGGAGACTGATCCAGATTCCAAATAGGTAAACTCTCCGTGGGCCGGGAGCCTACCGGCGATGTTTGCTTTGACTGCATTGCATATGTCTAGCCCCTGTCTGCCTAGGTGGCCGCCATGATCTGCATTAGTGTGCAGGTGGGACATCAGGTACAAGTGCAAACAGTATCGGAACGGCCAGAACCGAGCCCCGGTTGTCCGACTGAAGTGGAAAGGCAAATCAAATTGCGAACAGTCAAGGTCTGGCTCGTCTCAATCCAACTTCCGCTCACTGGTCCGTCCTCTGCGTTGCTATACCTGAATCTTGTCTCACACCAGCTTCGTGACAAGACTTTTCGTCTGTCGTTCGGATTACTGCCATCATGTCCAGGACCCAACGCACTCGTGATCTGGACTTGTCCTCTGAACCAGATACCTCGCCATCAGCGGACGAGTCGTCTTCCGACGAGTACAATCCTGATGCTGATGATGCCGCCAACAACAGTCTCTCTGACGACAACGCCTCTGACGAGGTTGCCTCTGATGAGTACATAACCGAACAAGACGACTCGGATGGCGACATCCCCGATCGTCGGGCCTCAATGAAATCCAATCCCAAAGCAAAATCGAGGGCGGCCCGAGATCAGCCTCCGTCGGTCGCCCTAGCTCAGTCCCAGCCGGAAGAGGACGTGGAGGAAGTCGAGGAGCAGATCTGGCGCTTCCAATGAGCAATACGATCAGAGACCGAGCCGGCCCGGCACCGCTCCCAGACACCCCCAACGTCCAAGATGCTCCCGGAGAGTTGGATTCCGATGAGGAGCTCCTCTATGACGGGAATGTGGCGCCTCCTGAATTCTACCGGCAGAACATCCGGAACATCAATGTTGACGACTTCAAGCGCAGACACTACGCAAAGGGAACACTGAAAATGATTGAGAATGCGCAGAACTACTGGCAGTCGTACGTGTAAACAAATGGAAGTCCTGGGCTGAAGCTAAAGTAAGAACAGGTTCTGTGAAAAGATCTTATGCTGCAAGGACTGGGAGAAGTGTTGTCAAGAGATAAATTTCGAAATCATCTACAACTTTCTCCATCGGTACCTAGGTCAGAAGAAAAGCCCGAAGGGCCGCAACAAGCGTCCTGTGAAAGCCATGGGCTCACTGATTACCTTTTGGTGTTGCTTCCGATTGTTCTATGAGCGCGTTGTCACTGAGAAGATTGATGACATTCTCCCACGTGGCGTGATAAGCAATGTAAGTTGTCCGACTCCAGCCTTGCAGTCTTGAAACGTTGGTTCCTGAACCCACTCAATGGCTATATTAACATGATCCAGGGACTCGTTACCCTTAGCAAAGCGTTCAAATTAAGCCACGAAAAACGCGAGAATCGGTCGATGACTATCGATGACTTAAAGCTTCATATCGAGACGATCTTGTGTACTACCCAGCAAGCTTTCAAGCTTGGGGAGCTTCGCATTCTGGCTATCCTCTTCCTCCTCCTGTTGGCTCCTCAGGGGTCCAGGCCACAGAGCATCTTGAATGTGAAGTAAACAGCTTGTTGAAGGCCTCATAGCCCCGCCAGTTTCAGCCGGCTGATTTTCAAATAAGATTCAAGCACGTAGAGCTCATTTTGATACGTCGCCCGCAGGATCCGGAAGGCCCACCCAGGCTGACGATCAGGCTCAGACTGGAGGAGACGAAGCAGTACCGTGGTACAAAGCCAATGCAAGTCGAAACTCTTAAGCTTGGAAAAGAATCGCTTTTCCATCATGCCCACACCGTATCCCGCTCAGATAAACATCATCGAAGCCTCAGCTAATTCTCATCGCAGAAAGACTTTCCTTGTGCCTGAAGTTATGTACGATGAGAGCCTCCCCATGAGCCCCCACGTCTTCTTGCTGGCTGTGTTAGTCCGGAACCGTGCTTTCAGGTCCGAGGAACTCAACGACGATCCACATATCCTAAGCACACTGAGAATTCACCCAGACACGAATGAACTGCGTCTCGTGCTTAAAACTGAGATCAAAGAACAATACCTTTTCCGACGAACGGTACGGGGCGTGGAGGGGTACACAATGTCCTCACAGCCGATGACCCAAGAAATGACCAGCAGATGGTTGAAGGTGATTGGGAAACAGTTGGGGTTCGAATCCAATACCATTACGTACAGTCTGCGCTACATGGCTGGCAATAAATTGAATCAAGATCGTACGTACCAGCCCCCGGCATTCAGCTATCTTTTTCTTCATGTGTCCTCGAAGGACCACATCTTTGCTAGGGAACAGCCCACACGCATTTGCACATTGCCCACAGTGTGCTTTCTGCTGCCGAAGCCTGAATTTCGAGGTCTGACTGAGTCCCAACAGCTTCTAAGTCAAGGGGTCCACATTCGGGCCACCCCCTGATTCGGGCCACTTTTTACACCAAAACCACTATTATCTAACTCCACCAATTAAACAGATATAAATTTCAAATTAAATCAATATATAGAGATTATGTGTTAAAGTAGATGATATAATTTTAAATTTTATAAGTATTTCCGGTATTATGTTAAAAAATATATAATATTAAAAAACTCTTATATTTTTAATCTTTATATTTAAATAAATATTAAATATAAATATATAAAAATAAATATATATATACTTTTTTTATTATATTATATTATAATAAAAATAAATTTAAAATTTAAATAACTATAATAATATTTAAAATAAACCTTAAAATAAAGATTAATTTATATATTATTTATAATATTACTTAATATAAATTATATAATTTAAGATAATATTATTTTTATAAGTATTTTATATATATTAAAGTTATGTTAAGACGTTATAAATTGAAAGATTTTATTTAACTTAAAAAATAAGATTAAGTATTTTCTTATATAAATTATTATTAAGGAAATTATATTTTATAATATAAGTATAAATATAAATTTAATATAATTATGCTATATTTATTTTCTTTATATATATTATAAAGGTCTTATAAGTAAAAATACGTCTTAAATATATTTAATTTATTTAAAGCTTTATAAAGATTTATAAAGTGTTAAGAAATATAATATAATATTGTGTGGATAGTTTTTCTAAAGCTCACAAGAGCCATTCTTTTAAAATAAAGAAATAAATAAATAAAGTTAAAAAGAAAGTATATATAAAGGAGGTTCGCCCTATAAGTAATATTACGTAATATATTATGCTTATGTAATATTATAAAAAATAAGCTTTATAATGATATATAAATATCCCTTATAAATAAATCTTATATAATATAAATAAATAAAGAAGCTTAAATATATATAAGAAAAAAAGACTTATTTCTTTAATAACTTTATAATTATAAGGGCTAGAAAGCTAAAACTTATATATTTATAATATTAATAATTAATATTAATATATAAGTATTTATTATATTCTTATATAATTAGCTTACGTAAGTAGATTTTTAAAACCTTTTATAATTTAAGTAGAAAAACTATATATTCCTAGGTACCCTTTTGGCTACTTTTAATTTATAAGCTAGCCCTTTAACTTACTTTAATAAGATTATATATTAATTAATTATTACTTAATTATTAGCTAATTAATTATTAATATATATTAATTAATTAATAATTTAAGAATTCTTAAATATTTTATAAGCCTTAATAAAAAATATAAATAAAAGGGCTTCCTTTTAAAAATAACTTATATTTAAAGTAATTAAGCAAGCCAATAAAAATATAATAATAATTCTTTTATATTCTTTTATACCTATATTTTATATATATTATATTTTTATTAATTATATAATCTTTAATAAATTATAAGCTTAAATATTTATTAAAATAATAATTTATTATTTAAAAGAGTTATAATAATATTTTTATATTATATTTTTAAGTATATATAATTAAAGGAATTTAATATATAATTTATAATTTACTTAAATAAAATTAAGAAATTCTTTATTTATAATTAAGATTTAAAAATTATTATTAATTAATTATATTATATATAAAAGGAAAAGCATTTATATTAATACTTTATTAATATATATATATATATATATATACTTTAAATATATATATATTCTTTATTTATTTATTTTAAAAATTCTTTAAAAGGCTTTTAATTTAAATATATATTATATAACTTAAAAGTTTAAAGAAAATATTTTTAAAGATAAACTTAAAGTTAATTAATTTAAGGCTTATAAATTAAATAATAATAACTTTATTAATATTAATTAAAGAAAAGCTTATTTATATAATTATAAAATATTTTATATATTTAACTTATTAAATTAATAAAAAAAATATATATAAATTATTTTATAATAATAATATTAATAAAAATGTTCCTTAAAATTAATAATTTTAACTTTTTATTATAAAGTTTTAAGAAAATTATATATTATATATTTTTATTAAAAGTTAAAATATTAAATATATATATATAATATAATTTATTAATAAATAATTAATATTAATAAATAATTAATTTTTTTTAACTTTATTTAATTTTAATTAACTTTATTACTTTTTTAATATAAAAAAATTAATAAAAGTTAGCATTAATTAATATTAATTACTTTAAATTCCTTATTTTTAATTAATTTTATTAATTTAAAGGGGTTAATAATAATATAATATAATTAAAAGTTATTAAAATTTATATAAAATAATGTTTTTTAATATTAATTATATTTTATTATTTTATATTAATTTTACTTTAATTTACTTACTTAAATATTAAATATATTAAAAATTAATAATTATAATATATATTCTTTTTTAAAAGAAAATTCTTCTTTAAAACTTTAACTTTATAATTTTTAAGCTTAATATTTACTTATAAACTTTAATATAATCCCTTTTTATTTCTCTTTAAAAATAATAATTTTAAATATTATTAAATATTTAATAAATTATTTAATAATTAAGTTTTATTAAAAGTAAAATTTTTATTTATTAAGAAAGCTTTTTTATTTTAATTATAAAGATTATTAATTAAATAATAAAAAAAGTATAAGTTATAATATATTTAATTACTTTTATAAATAAATAAATTTATATACTTTAAAATATTAATATAATATTTATTAAATGTTAAAGGGTTAAAGAAACTTAAATATAGCTTAAAAAGCACTTATTTTAAAGGAATTTTAAGCTTTTATTTATAAAAATAAAAGAAAAAACAATTAGCTAATAAAATAAATAATAATGTTAAAAAGGTAATTTATAATAAATGAATTAAATAATAATATAATAATTAAAAAACATTAAATATAATATAAAAGCTTATAAAAAAGATAAATAAAGATTTAATTAATTAAATTTTAATTATATTTTAATAAATTATATTTTTAATAATATAATTAATATTCTTTAATATTGTGGTTATGGACGTGCCATAAGGGAATAGTAGCATTAGGCATGATAGGTATTATGGGTAATTAGCATTAGAGTATTGATAGGCAAGGGTTATGTGTGGCAGTATGTAATTACTTTTAGTAATTTATAGCTAAAGGAAGGTTTTGCAGCTTATGGCCGTAATCTTTTTTCTTTTTATATAGTTAATTTAAATATAACTAGTTTATTATTAATTAATATATATTAATTTAGCTAATATTAATTAATAATTGCTTATAAATAGTTATAAATAGTAAGGTAAGTAAGTAATAAATTTATATTATTATTAATTAAGCGGTAATTATTAATAATGGGAATTATTATAATTAAGTTGTGATATTTATATTAAATAGTTAATATTAATATTATAAAGGTAGGTAATTATTAATAATGAAACCTTATTTAATTAAGTATTAATAGTTATGTTATAATTAAAATTAATAGGAAGAGATTAATAATGCCTTAACTTTCTTATTATAAAGATTTAACTTATTAATTAATAAGTTCTTAATAATGCCTTGGATTTGCTAATTATATGGCGCGTTTTATTATATAGTTAATATTAAAAGT